GCTGAAATGGAGAAAAGTAGCCTGGCTTTGGGAAAATTGTACAAGGATGGATATCTACATGGGAACATCCCAGCAGATTCATGCCTGGCTAACAGCCCTTTCTTTCCCCTTTCCTCAGTGGTCATTGGCTTGCTGTGCATGGGGGGATACCTCATCTGGAGAAACTGGAAACGGAAGAATACTAAAAGCATGAATTTTGATAATCCAGTGTATAGGAAGACAACGGAAGAGGAAGATGAAGACGAAATCCACATTGGGCGGACTGCCCAAATTGGACATGTCTACCCAGCAGTAAGTATCTGAGGGAACTGCTGATGGAGGGTATTAATTTTGTTGAGAGTGTAGATACAGAATTATCTCCAACCGATTACAGCATTGGTTATTTGGCATACAGTGACAAAAACCAGAACTTCATTAATAGTCATTGAATAGGCAGAAGCCTAAACTTCTAGGCTGTTCATGCAGTTGTCTTAGAATATAGCAGTCTATACAATAAGATATTCTGTTCAAATGAAGAAGAATCGTCCTACTCGATACCTGTAGTAAGCTAGCAAGTGTAAAGCTATCTATCTCAAGAGCTCAGTATGTGACAGCTGATTATTTATCCTCTACAGGATTCCATTATACCTGTGCTTAGACTGCTACCAAGTGTCTAAGCTATCTTAAGGATAACTTGAGTTTCTCTGCAAGCCAGGGAGAATATATTCTGTATAATATAACTGTAAAGGACAGTCAGATTCCTCTGAATGAGGTTCTGTAAGAAGTTAAGGAAATTTGCCTTGGCAAGATTAAGCTTTACAAAAAGCAAACAATCATTTTGATAGCAAGTCCTGTGTATGCAGAAGAAAGAGAACCTGCTCTGCATGGCAGTTTGCCTGTAAAGGAGCCTCCTTCAAAGCAGCAGCCCTGGTGAGATGAGGCATTGGCAGTTACAACTGCATTGTGTTTTTTAGAAGAAAGCACAAAGATCTCTAAGTAATGAGTGAAGGCAATATAGTTTCTATAGGCAGGCAGGCAAGCACATAGGTAATGCCCTATATTATCTAAAGATCCTGCTAAAGATCACACTACAAGAAGGTGTCATCCCTTACAAAGAACTTTATCCATGTAATTCACAAGTGAATTAAACTTTGCAACACCTATTTAGTAACACTTGAGTGAGCAACTCCATTTGGGGAAAAGAATCGGATCAAAAATAGATTTCTGTCACCACTACACTAGGGACAACAATGAGATTTTTAAACAGGAAATACAAGTTAGCAGCAGTGTCAGAATTTGGTTCTAATGCATCAAAATTCACAAGTCACAAACTTTCTCCTCAAGCGTGTTTTTCTTCCTTCACAGCGTGTAGCGTTAAGCTTAGAAGATGACGGGTTGCCATGAGGATGAAGTTGCTGCTCCAAATTACCACACTCAACAAATTTGCTTTGAATCACAGAACCTGCTTCTTCTTTTTAATCATTATTTATGTTGCAGAAGGGTAACCACAAAGTTATAATGAACTGCAGACATCCAAAGGATGTGAGAGTTTTGTATGTATAATCTTTTATACACATTTTAACTTGTTGCACTACCCATTTGTGATAGTGAATAAGCGACAGCTGAGCTACTAACTCAATGTACATAACCAGCCAGGCTGAAGGTTCAGTAGCTATTGCTTTATTTTAAGACTATATTTATAGATATTTTGTAAATATGTTGAATATGCTTTGTGGCTATCCATCAACATAAGTAAAACAAATTCTGTACAGGCAGTTTAGAAATATTTATTAACAAAATCTGGATTATAAGATCTGTTCTGTAAATATAGTAGAGGGGTGAGAGTATTTATTTTTTGTATGTTTGGCTTGCTGTGCATAGATTATCTGTGTATATATCTATCTAGGCTAGATAGATATATAGGCATATAAATATATACATATATAAAAATATAAACATATATTTTAAAACTACTAGCCTACGTTTATGAAAATTAGGGATAATTGAATTTTTACAGGATGTTTGAGAAGTTTGCTTTGAGATCTGAAGACACTAAGTAAGAAAGAGCTGTACTGTAAGATAGCTGACAAATGAAGCACTCCCATAACAAACAGAGCTCCTGTTTTCCAAACTGGCTCATAAGGGTTGCTTTTACATTTTCCAGTCTATCCAGAAAAGTTCATCTGCAGTGCTTTTACTGAAGAGCTGTTGCTTACAGCATTTCAGTCAGGAGAAACTCCTAAAGCGCCCACGTTTTCTTTGGTTTTCTATTGTTGCTTTTTACAGCTTGGTACAAATTTGATTTAGCTTTTTTGTTTGTTTGTTTCTAAATGTAAATGCTCTTCCACACTGGGAATCTTGCACCTCTCAAATTAGTTTAGAATTAGTGGCAACAAAGATTTAGCCATATACTTCCATACACCCAAAGTGAGCATTCTCACCTGGCTCATCAGCGGGGAAAAAAACCCCACAATAACAGAAGTTAATTCCTTCCCTCCTTGCCCTTTTCCCCTACTCATACTGATCAAGAGTCCAGATTTAGGAGATGCTATAGGGCAGTGTCTGAATTCACCATACATAGCATTCTTTAAAGCGCAGCAATTGCCTTCCAAATTACCACCAACAGAACAACCCGCACCATGGTAGGTCTCACATACCACAGAGCGCTAGGCAAGGAGGTTAAAGGAGGGTAAAACTTCACAGCCCTACCAATATCTTTGGCTGGGTCATCCTGCACCTTGCAGAAAAAAGTTTTTTCTCATCTCATTCTGTAAGATTCCGAGGGGATTCTACAGGACACGAATATACCTACCTACCACTGCATAATGGACTAGTACCTCCCTGAACGGTACCAAAACCTAGAGAAATCTTCCTACCATTCTTACGTCAGTCCAAGCTTTTGTATTCAAGTGAGTAGAAGAAACTCAGCCTGAATAGGTTCAGGGTTTCTTTCTTTTCCTTTTTTCCTTTTGTTTTTCTTTCTTTTAGAAAAAATTCAGTGTAATGTGAGCTGGAAGTTGATTCTTGACTAAGAAAAGGAAGAAAGTGTCTGAAGACCTAGTATACATTACAAACATAATACGCACTCTCAGAATACTTCATGGCCTGCATAGACAATACATAAATAATCAAGCATCCTTCTATTCAAATTTTAGATTTTAAGGCAGTGAAAAAAATGATTGAGTTATCCAATTATTGTTTTAAGGTATGAAGCTCTGTTTCTACAAATCCATGCGCTGTGTACATGAAGGAAAAAAACTGAGAAAAGGCTGTATGTGATAACACTGTAACTAACAGATGAATGTAAATATATTTGAAAGTTCTACAGTTTTGATACTTTTTTAAGAACACATACACACAAACCAACCTGTATAAACCATGTATAGAAGGCTGCAGGTTTTTTTCAAACCATTGTAAATGAACTTGATGTGCAGTGTTGATTTCAACCTTTACAGATTTATAACTACTGAAAAGTCAAACACCAAATTTGTTTTTTAAGAAATTAATTATTTTAAATATGGTTCAGATGATTGTTAGGATGATATTTAACATTGTAATCATTTCTGATCTCTGTCTTGTCATATGAAGTTCTGTTAGAGTAAGTTCTTGCTTGGTGCCTTTTGTGTTCCAGTTTTTATGTTACAGACAAAAGGACCAGGGAGGGGCAGGGGAGGGATCTGCTCTGTGTAACACTTGCTGTACTTACGTCAGTACGGATTACTGAAAACCAAATGAACACATTTGTAAAACAGTGCACTGTTTCTATAGAAAGATTAAATTTTTTTATCTGGGACTACTGAACTAATTACTTTATAGTGCTTAAAATGCTGTCCTAGACCTGGAACTGTATCATATTTTGGTCTGAGTTTTCCTTAACTCTCAACTGTCCAAACCCAAAGTGGGACTTGGGAACACTATTGTATAATTCAGCTGTTCTCTGTACAGTTTCGCTCTGTATCTGCAGTAGCTGCAGCTTCACAGTAGCAATACTGAAAACAGTTTGCATTCTACATGGAAGTGAACAGACCGTTTCGTTCCAAATTATCTTTCTCCGCCACTTTGGTTTTGGCCATCTTCAGATCACATGGAAAACAGTACTGGGTTCATTATTTCCTTGAGCTGAACAATTATATCAGTGATGTAACTAAAATAAGTGAGTAAAGCTTCCAGTGGTAGAAGTACACCAGTCCTTACCCATTGTGAGAAAATGTTGTCTCAAAAGTGAATGGTGCATACAACAAAACTGGTGCAGTTTTTAACCCAAACTATTAACGGGTTAGACTATTCAAGGGCTAGTTGCAAACTACTCAGTTTCTTGGTACGGCTTTTGGTAAAGCATATCTACAGAAGCTGAACAACTTGTTACAGCCAAATATCCACTCTTGCTGTCCTGAAAAAAGACAGAAATACTGCTATTCTTGGAATCACAACAGGCAGTCTTAACTTTTTCTTTTTTAAAACATACAAACAATCTCTTCTAAAAAAAGCTGAAATGAGATCCACTGTACTAGAAGTACAGTTATAGCTTTAGTTGGAGACACGAGTGAGTCAGAACTAAATGTGCAGTTAGCTTGCTCTCTCTTCCCCTTCTCTTGTAAAAATGAAATCCTAGGTAAGAAACAAGGATATTGTGAACAAGGAGGGACGACGGGAGGCATTTTCTGAAATGGATGGGCGGTTTGGGTCCTATACAAATGAAGGTACAACATTTCCCTGTCTAGCGAGAAGCTTGAGCAGGCAGTCAAATGCTTAAAAGACTTTTCTCCTTTCAGGTATTGCTGTATGGCCCATTTGGTCAGTCTGTGTGAGAAATCTACTGCATAACTTAACTTAAAATGCAAGTTATCAGCCAGGGGAATAAAGTAGCCATAAATACCAATGTCCATTGATATGTACCTCTTGAAAACCAGGACAACCAAACTGTGCATTGAATGACCGTTCTTTTTCGACCCCAGGTTAATTTGCAGGAGACACTGCAAGAAGCATTAGAAATCAGAGCACTGAAGACAATACAACATTTCACTGTCATGTGGTGGTGTACAGCCTTTTGAAGCAGTGTGTTTATTGAAAGTAACTTTCAGTCAATTTTTGTCCCTAAAGGAACGCTGCCAAGCAGCTAATGCTTTTCAGACACAAACAGTTATTACGAAACTAACATGGACTTAGGTACTGGTAAATATTGGTGGTTTAGATTTCTATTTAACTAAAAATAGGGGTTTCTTACTTTAAAATATTTCTCCATTTCAGTTAAATATTTTAACAGGGTAATATGATAGCAAATAGGAAAACTGACAACCAGACCAAAAAAAATCTCTCCAAGTCTAACCAGAGAGGAAAGTACAAATGAAAAGAAGTGAAAGAGCCTCATAGGACAGTCCCAGACCTGTCTGGGGCACTGAGGTATGAGGTATGCTTGCTATACTCCCCCCCCCCCCCTTTTTTTTTTTACTCTATGCTGTATTAGCAATAAACTTTTGTTTATTTGTTTCCCTTTTTACACATAGTAACTGTACAGTATGAGATAATCCGTTCTAATACTGTGCTGCCTGCTAACATTAAGATGCTGTACAACTACACGCACTTGTATAAATCCCTTTAGTGTTTATATAACATATGTAACTTGGTTACCTTTCTGCCTTCTGCAGGCATATGTACACATAATTTCCTCACACCTCCATCAAATTAGTCCTTTAACTTTGTGAAAGAGTTTTAAATCTTTCTAATTTACAAACTTGCCTTCAAGAAGGGCGCTATAGCCATGGTCTATTGCGAGCTTTTTCACTGCTTCAGCGCAGGAGTTCATAGAGTAGTGCCAATTTCACTTGTCTCCTAAATGCACAGTCTCAACATTGGAAGGATTCAGAGGGAGAAAGATAGCAACAGAGACAGTGAATTTAGATGTGGGATACATAACCCATCTTTTAGATTCCAGCCACAGTCCATGTGCACATTAACATGCTGGGTGCTCAGCGGCCAGCTCAAAACACTAATTAACAAAACAGCCACACTCACACACTCCCTCGCTCTTACTTTGCAGGTCTTGGTGCCCTCTATTCAAACAGCTATAACAGGAGCACTGTTTGTAAGAGTTTGCACTGACCAAGGATGCCCTGGAAACAGCATACTGGTTGCTGAAGGTATCACTACAGCCCTAGGCAACAGCTTGATAGAGCTGTTTTCAGTCATAGTTTGAGGGTTGTTGTGGATTGTCCTGATGACAGAAATGGGGGCTGCAGCTGTGTGTTTCTGCAACAACTTGTAAACCATCATTCCCACGGAATGGCAGCAAGCCTGTCCTAGCCGAGATGACATGGTAGATCTGGGGTGAACCAGAGCTCCCAAAGTCTGTGCCAGGGACAGGGCTGTGTAAGCTCTCGCACATAAAGAGTGAGACTGAACCCTAATCTGCTGCAATGAGCTGGAAGAGAGGCATACACTGGCCATCCTAGTCACAGGACAAAAATATGCAAAGCCATGCATTTAAGTAAATCATCTGAAGTCCCTGTAAGAGAAAAATGGGGGGGAGTTGGCTTTCTTCGGGGCAGTGACAGAGACTGAACTGGCTAGTCTCAGCTAGATGAAATGTCCGTGGCAAATGGTTTACCAGGCTTGTTGCGCCTTTATCAGTAGAAAACAAACTGAGCTAACGCACCTTGTTTTCCTTGTATGGCTACAAACACAGGCTCCCAGCCAAGACGCAAGTCTCACAGAATCAAATTTTACACAAAATTGAACTTGTGGCTTTCGATATCACAGCAGCAGATGCAGTAACACAAAATATTAGCTTCACAAAAGATTACGTCACAACAGTGTCCCCAGAAGTGAGGCCACCTGCCTCAGGACACTGAGCTTAGATTTCTCATGCCAAGTGGTACCATCTACCAGAAGAAACCAACAAGCACTAGTTAAGGCCATGTTCTTAGCTCTTACAGGAGATTAGTAATG